GAGACTCAAGGTCTAGGCAGACCAATCTGAGCACAGCCTGGATTGACTACAAGAAAGCCTACAAAATGCCACACACATGGATCTGTGAATGCCTGGTGCTCTACAAAGTCAACAGGACACTAAGGACCTTGCTCAAGAACTCAGTGGAAGACAACACTGGAAATCAACTTAAGACTGCTTGCACAAGTGGCCATCAAGTGCAGCATATACAAAGGTAATGCACTATTCCCGCTGCTGTTCTACATAGGATTGAATCCCCTCAGCCAGATAATCACAAGGACTGGATACAGATACAAGTTCAAGAGTGAATTACCATCAGCCACCTCCTCTACGTGAATGGCATCAAGCTGTATGCTAAGAGTGAACGAGACTTCAACTTGCTGATCCGCCTGACATAGATTTACAGTGAGGACATTGGGATGTCATTCAGACTGGAGACGTGTAGCTGGATGGTAGTAAAGAGAGGGAAGGTAGTTAAGACTGATGGGGTGGAATTACCAATGGGCCACATAGCAGACATATAGACCAGCTACAAGTACCTTGGTATCCCACAGTCACATGAGAACCATGAGGAGGAGACAAGGAAGACAGCAACGTCCAACTACCACCAAAGGGTAAGACAGATCCTGAACAGCCAGCTCTATGGGAAGAACAAGATCCACACCATCAACACGTACTCTGTCATTAGATACCCTGCCAGTATAGTGAGCTGGCCAAAGCAGGACATGGAGGCTGCCGATGTGAAGACCCAGAAGCTCCTCACAATGTACGGAGGTTTCCACCCCAAGTCCAACACCCAGAGACTATACACCAGCCGGAAAGAGGGCAGATGGGGTCTGGTGAGTGTCAAAGCCACTGTCCTGGATGAAACCTGGAGCATCCAGGAGTATAGCAGTAAGATGGCACCCAAAGATGAGCTACTGAGAGAATGCCTAAGGCAGCAGGAGGCATGGGAAGAAGTTCAAGCAGAGGAAGTGCCATAGCAAGACAAATGTCTGCATCGACAGATAGCTGAGGTGGCTGACACTGGGAAATCCTACCAGTGGCTAGAAAGGGCTGGGCTAAAAGAAA